AATAATAATAATTCACATTCCAGAAAACTCACCCTTTTAAAGCAAACAATTCGGTGTATTCACAAGGCTGTACAACCATCACCACCATTTTCAAGATTCGAAAAAGAAAAGCCATACCCATTAGCAATCACTCCCTGCTCTCCCCACCCCTGGTCCTGACAACCACTAACAGACTCTCTATCGATTTACACCTCTTTATCTATAGATTTGCCTGTGGAAAATGGAATTCTGTGTTCTATGGCCTTCTGTTCTGTCTTCTTTGACTCAGAGCAGTGTTTTCCACACTCAGCTATACCACAGCACACGGTGATACTTCACTCCTTTTTATGGAGTGTCCATGTGGACACACTACACGTTCTCGATTCGCTGGTTAACAGACATAGGAATTGTCTCCACTGTCTCTGCTTGTTCGCTATTGTGAAGAATACTGCTACCAACGCTCAGGGACAGATCTATGTGTGCACATACATTTTTCTTTCTCTTGATTATATGCCTAGGAGTGACATTTTTGTATCATTATAGTGAACTTTATGTTTTGTGTAACTGTCACATTGTTTTCCAAAGTGCTATTTTACATTCTCACCAGCAATGCATGTGGGTTTCATTTCTCTCTCTCCTCACTAATACTTGGTATTTTCCACCTTTTTTAATTACACTTTTCTAGTGGGTGTAATGTGGCACCTCACTGTGGTTTTGAAGTGCATTTCCCTAATGCACTCATGATACTGAGTATTTTTACAACTGTTTATAGTTCATTTGTACAACTTCTATACAAAAATGCCTACTCAAATCCTTTATCTGCCCATTTGTCTTTTTAATGAGTTTCAAAAGTTTTTAATATATAATTTACAAATATTTTTCCAATTCTGGGGTTTTTCTTTCTACTTTTTTTTTTTTTTAAAACAGAGTTTCGCTATGTTGCCCTCGGTAGAGTGCCATGGCATCAAAGCTCACACCAACGTCAAACTCTTGGGCTTAAGGCAAGCGTCCTCAAACTGCAGCCCGCTCAGGACATTTATCCAGCCCGCCGGCTGTTTTTGCCGCTGCTGCCTGTCCTGCTTAGCAGCCGGCTCGTCCCAGGGCCCACAGTCCGGCCCTCTAATGGTCTGAGGGACAGTGAACTGGCCTCCTGTTTAAAAAGTTTGAGGACCTCTGGCTTAAGGGATTCTTTTACCTCAGCCTCACTAGTAGCTGGGACTACAGGCACCTGCCACAATGCCCAGATATTTTTTTGTTGTAGTTGTCATCGTTTAACTGGCCCAAGCCAGGTACAAACACCCCAACCCCAGTATATGTGGCCAGCACCCTTAACCACTGACCTACAGGCATCAAGTGTATCTTTTTACTTCTTAAAAAGTTTTTTTTCTTGTTTGTGAGCAAGGGACATTAATACTATTCTCATTACTTCCCTGTAAATGACATTTTTCTTTCTTTTTTTTTTTCTTTTTGGAGTCAGAGTTTTTACTTTGTCACCCTCTGTGGAGTGTCATGGCAAAGTAGCTCACAGCAATCTCTAACTCTTGGGCTCAAGTGATTCTCGTGCCTTAGCCTCCAGAGTAGCAAGGGCTACAGGTCCCAGCACAACACCTGGCTATTTTTTAAACACAAGGCCTTGCTCTAGCTCAGGCTGGTCTCAAACCTGTGAGCTCAGGCAATCCACCTGCCTCAGCCTCCCAGAGTGCTAGGATTACA